TGTTTACATGTAAATCATATGATATCATATAAAATTCGTTACACAAAGTTGATCTACAATCTATTTTATATGAAATTACACCCTACCCTTAAATTATACATGGTTTTTAGGGTTCTGAACATTTTTACTTAGTACATCTGACCCCTGTTTTTTAGTCTCATTTTTGCAAGCTAGTGATGATCACCAGTGGTGATAAATAGCAAATCTCAATAAAAAAACTACTTACAAACTTATAATTTATTTGAGTGTCGCTAAAAGAAAACTCGACAATTTATATATAGGTCATATTTAAATTGTCGGGTTTTCTTTTAGCGACGCTCATTTAATAAACATTTTTACTTCGTGAGCAGCCAATCATGTATAATAAACCTCTTTATATCAACCTCAAAAATTTCGCTTTTCAGTGTAAAAAACATTATCTCCTTAGTAAAACAAACTTTCTGTAATATATTTCTTTTTTTTAAAACCTTTCACAATAATAAATCGGGATCTTTGCTAACAAGATCACCCTTCAGGACTATGTAAATCATAGTCCAAAGGATGATTTTGTTAGCAGAGGCTCCAATTAATTATAATTAAAGTAACTTATAAAAAACTTTTTAACCTTACATGGATAAAAAGTTACACCTAACCCGTGCCGGAGGCATGGATCATACGCTAGTAACAGTAATGGCAGAGTACAAGGCCCTACTACAGTGTGAGTAGATAATTATATTCAACTAGTACTTCTGCTTTTTGCTAACCTTTCAATTATTAATGTCAGAACCGATAATACTATTTCAAAACAAAAAAATGCCGGATTATTCCTATTTTCAAAGCTTATGGTGGAAGGAAGGAAATTTTCACTTAGAAGAAAAGTGGAAAGAAACTACGTAAGTTTTTTCATGGTGGGCTTGTTATATATAAACAAAACTAATTTTGGCTGATTACAAGGCTTCCATATGTGCTCGCTGAGGACGTGAGTTTGGACGAGTACGAACGTCGCACCGATAACTTTAACGTTCATGGTTTATGGAAATGGACAAATTATAAAGTCCAGTTTATGAACTTCCATTAGAGCCACATGAAACTTGTATTGGCGCAATTACTTCAGAAATAATTGAGCAATGCCTTCCTGTTAAAAGAACAAATGCCGGTATAATAAACTTAGGAGCAACTCGTAAGCATCAATTAGCTATCTCAGTCCTATTTATAGCATCGAATTAATTTTTTTTTTTTTTTAAAGGAACTCGTGCTGATCGTTCTGGAAAAGAGGCTGATGCATCATTTCGTCCAATGAAACCAGGATTGCCTCTCCAAACTGAAAGTGATGGAAATGTATTTTTTGTTTTCTCTATTGGTTTTGAGCCCTTTAACATTTAAGTTTTACATTTTCATGGTTTTAGAGAAAACCATGGTACGTCGAGACGATCTCGATCGGCAACTCCAATTCTATCACAATCGTCAAGTCCAATCTTGCCAGAAGATTTTTACTTCAAGAATCTTGATGATTGGACATATTCGCCGCCACCTTCTTGGCCAAATATTGTTATGAAAGTCGCATATTCTGAAAGTATAAATTATGTCTTCGAAAAAGTGAAAGATTACTGGCTAAAGATCTTAATCGCGCACATGACGCAATAGTTTAAAATCGATCTGATTTCTGAGGACGAAACACCTTCATGCATGCAAGTAAGTTATACTTCTTAAAATATAAGTAATCTTTTATTGCTTGTGTATCATTCTAAAGAATAAACCCATGTAGACATGGCATTTTTGCTCCACTGACAGAAAAACGCGAAGAGGAGAATCGAACTCACGTAATGTCAAATATAGGATAAATTGTCTTTTCTATCTAATTTTCAAAATTTTTTAATATGGATAGTTTTATTATTTTTATTATTAGTTTGAGTTTGACACACATGATGGAGCCGGGAATCCGTTGAATATTTTGCAGCGTACGTGCCTCATCAAAATTAATTTGGATTGTCTTTACTACCAAGCACATCCCGAAGTCCAACTTTCACGAACCATTCTTCCCGATCCCATTATCCTGGATTTTTTCTTTGTCAGAAATGAAATTCTCCGTGCATACAGAGAATAATAGAAGTTTTAGAAAATAATAATTATTATTTATAAATGCACATGCGATAAATATGAATCGATCATGGAACATTTAAAGTTTTAACTTCATTCTATAAGATCGAAGATGCTCCGGGATAATTACATATGGGTTATCATAGTACCAAACATACCTTAAAGCAATCCAGTTTTCTTCGCATAATTCATTCTTGAGTTGATCCCGTGCTTGCTGTTTGATAAAATTATTGGGATCTCCTCTATGAAAGAATTTAACGTATTATTCATGTTGTCCTTGTACCTCAATTGCAAAACCATATTCTGGATAATAAATATCAAGATGTAATCCAGTTGGATACTCTGAAGTTTTAAGAAAATCAGGTTGGTGTATTTTAGATGGTGGTCCAAGATATTTTGACACAATCTCACGGCATAAATTTTCTCTTTTATATTTTGTACAGTAAGGGCACCAGGTATTTTTATATTTTATATGATATAAATTTGCATTCCATTCGTGCCTTTTAGCACAACGCCACTGTAACGGAGCTTGGCTATTGATATACTTTCTGAAAGGCATTTACCATTTTTACTATAGGCAATTTTATTAGTTTCTTCAATAGTAGACCGAATATTACCTGCACAATGAGGAACCAAGTATTTTTATTTTTAACATTTTGTAATGATGCAGTCCATTCGTGACCTTCAGCACATTTCCAGTGTAAATGAGATTTGCTGTCAATAAATTTATTTGAAATACACTTGCCACCTCTACTTAAAGCAATCTTTTTAGCTTTTTCAAGGGTACATCGTCCTTTACCTGCACAATATGGACACCATGAGTTATGATTTTTTATACTATGAAGTGGGCATCCCATATATGTCCCATAGCACATTTCCAATGCAATGTCGAAAATATTTATATAATTTCAGAAAGATAGATCCCATCTTTCTTTATTGATATATTTAGCATATTTGACGAGTATGTGCACATTGAGGATACCATGAGTTATACTAAGAAGTTCCTACAGCGCATTTCCAATACAATTTAAGTCTGCCATTAACATAATTTTCAGAAAGACATATCCCACTTCGATTTTTAGCTATTGTACAAGCATCATTTAAAGATAATTTTTCATTTCGAATGAAAGATTTTTAAATAAATATGAACTATTTTTAAATAAAAATAAATATATTGATTTTTTAGTTTAAATCTTTTACATCATTTCTATCGATATTCTTATAATTCAAAAAAATGGTTTATAATAAAAAGAATATTTTGAGTCTCAGATTAATATAACTAAAGATGCTTCAGCAAGAATTATACAAAGTACTTGGAGACAATTTAGAAAAAGAAAGCCGTTGAATGCACTACTTGCTTGGAGGCTTCTTATTTCGGAACCGTTGTTATTGAATGAGGAATGGCTCAAAATCCTGACTTACATCCGACCCTGAAACTGGTTTCATGAAAACTGGCTTTAAAGACTACCGTTTTCCTCATATTCATTATTTTCATGTCATTTTTAATAATGTGCAATCTCAACACAGAAATTTATGTTACCAAGTCGTCATCAAATCGATAAATATCATTAATAATCCTCCGCTTCGCGTAATTTTAACCTACCATCACCGATTAGAATTACAGAACTGTTTGCAACAATTATTGTCACGGCTGAAGCTGGAAATGGCTGAAGTTGGAAATTAGAGACCTCGATTAGAAAATATAAACCCTACCAAAATCCACTTATACATTTTTATTTTCAAAACTAACCCTAAATCATAAGCTAGCTATAAAAAAAAGACTAAAAAAATGCATCCAAAAATTTTGAAAATTTCATATTAAAGTATTTAAAATTTCCAGCTTCAGCCCACGACAATTATTGATGAAGCACCTGTAGCGGAATTACTTCATGGGTTGATAAAAGAACTAAGACATTTTAAATAACAAATAAATCATACGAATTTTAATTTACTTCTTGTAGTTATGAATGTTAAAGGCGCTGATGAAATTATTGGTGGATATAATCGAAAATATACTCATGACTCATTTTTGAAATTATAATTATGAAGGTAAGGATAATGATTAACTTATTGGTAGATATAATCCTATCTGATCCTAAAAGAATTACAATCGCAGCTTTATTCTTTCATTGTAATGGTATCATTCAAAATTCTACTTTAAGTCACGTAAAACAATCAGAAAATGCAATTCATAGTTCTACTCACCATGGCCCAATTTTTTGGATGAATCAACCAGGGCGGTTCCCCGAAGTTCGGATTGATGATGGACATCACTGCTGCAGCGTCTATTCAGATTTATGTCCATTTCAGCGATAGTAATGGAATTTGTACATGATTTAATCTAAATATATCTTGACTTCTTGATCATTATACAGTCTATATGTTGTGGTTGATCATTAGCCCGAAGTTTGGGGGCCGTCTTGGCGTATTCATTTTGTGGTGGCAGTGATTAATTAGGATAAGCAATGTTGAAATTTAAAGATTTTAAAATGTCTGCAAATTAAAATTGGCATCAGATCAAAATTTAAATGCCGAGCTTTTTAGAGTTAAGTTGTAAGCTTATATATTAGTATATAGTATTATAATTTGACGCGAATTTTAATTTGAAATATAGTCTTACAACTTTCCGGGTAAGATTAACTACGTTTATCACATGATATTATTCATTATTAATTGGTTAAATCTTTGGCTTTTTTAGAAATTAAATTTTTTTTCTAATCAAGTTAAAAGGCTTAAACTAAATATATTAATTGATAGACTTTATCGGAAACTACGTAAAATATACATGCTTTTTTAAACCTTAGATAAGTTTTTAAATTTTAATATAAAATATTTGATGCGTCTAGACTGTTTGTCCATAGAACGAATAACAGACAATTGTCTGTAAATTATCTTTATGAACGGATTGCAGAAAAAAGTACGGACAACGATAATGATAACACTAAAATACGGATTTTGAACAAATACTCTCCATTTAAGTACAAACATTCATGCTAATAAAATCATTGATTACAAATTAAGTAAATATAATAAAGCAAAGAAGGAATAAAAAAATAAAAAAAACCCCAATTTTAGAGAAGGAGGGTGAAAAAAAAATACTTCAGAGCCTGTTATAATAGACTGAACAAATGTATCTCTACCCTTCTTTAGCAAAAAAAAAAAAAATAACGTAGCTAAATTGTTTATAAGAAATGAATTCGAGATAGCATATGATAGCTATGCCCTATAGAATCTTCTGGTAATAGTTAATAATTGAATGCTTTGTAATTCAACTTGTTTTTGAATTTCTTGTGTATCAATAGGTTTACTAAAATATTTAGAGCAGAACATTCTTGTGAAGTAACTAGTGATCTATTAGCATCTAATTTTTCTCTTATATAAACCATTTTATGCGGATCTTCAGAATTCATAATAGTTTCCATTTAAGCAGTAGGCCGATTTTGTGGACTTGAATCCATACATTGTTTAACCAATTCAATCAAATAGTCAGGTACTATATCAGTAAAATTTGGTTTCAACCCACCAATAATTTTTAGCGCAAGTATATAATCAAATTGGAATTCATTAAAAGGTTTAGTTTCAGTTGATAATTCGGTCATAATAATACCAAAGCTATAAATATCTGCTTCTTGTGCATATTTCCCACCGTTTAAAACTTCTGGAGCCATATACGGCATTATTCCATAAATTTTTGAGGAATCTTCACTTTTTTTTTTGGAATAATCCTAAATCCGCAATATAAGAAATTATATGACCACTAATGTGTTTATTTATCAAAATATTACCACTATGAAAGTCACTATGCGTATATCCCGCTTTGTAATTTTAACTAAGTTATTTGCTATATTTACAAACAATGTTAATTTAACTTGCCATGTATATTCTTCAGAGTTTTTTATTAATGAATTATAAAGGTCACCCCTATTGGCATACTGAAACACCATCAAATATTTCCCTTCATTATTTTTGTTATCTCATAAACTTCAAGCCCACTTTTACATTCCATATAACTTTTAAATTCTTTTAAAAAGTAGGATGAATTTTCTGAATTAGATAAAGTTTTGAGAGCCACTTTGTATGAACATTTACAAACTCTTCTGCATAACCTGTAACTATTCGTTTGCCATCTAACCATGTTGCCGAAATACTAAGACAAATCCTCCTTTGCCAATAAGTTCTACTTTTTCTAATCTATTAATTGGAATCCATTCGATAAAATCTGTATAATTTGTAGCTTTTTGCTGACATTCTTTAATATAATTATCAACATCTTTACATTCACTTGTCTATTCTTTAATTGTTTCTAAATTAGGATCACATGTTGTGCATCAAGCTTTGCAAGCATGGATTTCGTTCTGACTTCATTAATTGCTCTTTTATGGCATCCATAGTTTCTTCATAATTGATAATGTCTGTTTCATCTAGAATCCTTACTAAAACTAGTAAAGCTGCTTCTAATATTTTTCTCTCTGGTTTTTTACATTGGTCGCTTGAATCTTTAAGATTTTTATAATATTATGATTCCTCGTTTAAGAATTCTCTCAAGTCGACTAAAATATCTAAGTGGAGGTCTTTATTATTATTGATGGTACTTGTTCTTGTTATTTTTTTGAAGTTTTTAGTTATATTTACAACCCATTCTTTAATGTTGGACAAGTTTTCTTTGTTTTCAATCAGGGATTTCCGGACGGATGGTTTTAAAGTTGTCTTTGATAGATGCCAATAATGGTAAGACATCTGAGTTGTCTATGTCAATGTCTTCTTTGAAAGCGGTGACATATTTCAATTAGTAAGATAAAATTCTAACGTTATTACTTTATAAAGACACTTTTCATTAAACATCTTGCTTTTATAGAATTTAAAAATTTTAAATATTGCGGGAAAAATTAAAGGCGAAGCAAATCGTTTTTTTTATAATAATTTAAAGTCGCAGAATAATGAAATCGGATTAAAATGAAATGAGGGGTTTCTATTTGACCCTCTAAAACCTTGTTTATTATAAAACCT